GCTCCCAGCCCCATGGGAGCTGCTGCCACAGATGAGCCCATGAGGACTTGGAGCAGGAACACATCGCTTGCAGGGTTCCCTGTCAGGGGCATGCCTGCGCAGGCACGCACCAAGAATTTAATTCCTATCCACCACCTCAGCAGAGCCATACAGATGCAGCTCCAGCTGCTCCCGGGGGTGGGGCCACACTTAAACTTATTCTTGTTTTCACTGTCAAAATATAAATCATAAAAACAAATTAAAATGAGAATGAGTAAGAATAGTGGAAACAAATGGTTATAGATAAAACAAATTAATAACATTTTCTAGAGACTAAACTAACAAGTTAACCTCCTGTCTAAAGAACTTAGGATGAGATAAATTTATCTTCAGCATTTTCAACAAGCCTGGTTGAGACCTCTTTTTCATTAAGCCAAATCACTCTCCTTTTACATCTTCAGTAAAGCATGCCTGGGCACCCTTTTCTCCCTGCAATTACACTCAAATAAACCTTTGATTGGCACCACCTCAGATGGTTCTCTCTTTCCCCTTTTTCTCCTCCTGTTACTTTCTTCCTGAAGTCCCCACAACCTTTCATTTGTGTTTGGTTCAGACTAGTGATGGGAGACCCATTGTGAATGAGACAATACTCAAGTTACAGGTAAACAGATGGAAGAGTAAACAGAAACCTGTTTTTCACGCTTAGTGTTGGCCAACTTCACAGACCAACTTCACAGACTTTAAGAACCTATGTTTGTTATGTGTACACACAGCTCCTTACACAACACCTGTCCATGAATTTTGCAATGGTCCTGATGGACAGTGTGACACCAGCTTTTATGTGAGACTAGGCCTGCCAATGGGAGGACAAAGGAGACAGTTGCCCTGGGGCCCAGTGATTCTAAAGGATTGGGGCTCCAACCACCACTGCTGCCGCAGCAACCCCAGGCCTCTTTGATTCAGAGCTGGCAGGAGCCAGTGGTACAGTCTAGGTGGCGTTGAGGGCTGGTGGCTCTGACCCCACCCCTTCTATCTGTGGCCCCGCCCATTCTGAGGGTGCAAAGCCACCCCTCACACTTAGCCCCAGAGTCTTCAGTGTCTGTCAGCCCTGCTGTGTGAGACCTTGCATGACATTCTTTGAGGAACTAAAATGTACACACCAGACTTATTCGATTTCTGTAACCCTACTGCACTTCCTTGACAGTTGGCATTGAGAAGTTCTTGGGTCACAATCAAGACAGCACCACTTCAGATATAAGGCTCTTGGGCCACTCCACACCCCTCCACAAATGACAGTATCTTGTGTCCACTATGATTTTACAGAAAGGTAGCTAATATGTGTTAGTTATCTTACTGTAAAAATGAGGGATCTGCAAGGTTAGCCAGTTAACCCATAAGCATCATCCTTAACACCCGTAACCCTTAATTTTTAATCATTTCAGTTAAGCCACAAGCAGGGGGCTGCTCCAACCCTCTTGGACAGAGCAGCCCCTGTCCAAAGTAGGCCCTGGTGCATCGCAAGCAGGCAGGGGCTGCTCTGGGCAGAGGTTGCCCTGTACCGATTAGAGCAGCCCTGCCTGCCGTGGGGGGCTGCTCAAGTCCGACTAGGTGGGAGCACCTCCCCCTTAATTGGTTAACTGGTTAAACTTCACATTTAACTGGTTAAGCTATTAAACAGGATTTTACATCCCTAGTAAAAACACACCTGTAGCAACAGTGAAGAGTATGTCAAGTTATGTATTAATCTGGTGAAGACAATGTTGTGGCAGTTAAAGGCTAGATTGTTCTGTTGAGTTTTTCTTGACCAGCTAATATGGGTTAAAAATATAACTAGCCTGTCTTTACGAGGCTTGTAAGATAGATTAGTTTAAATATACACTTTTTCCCTAGGCCTGAGAATAGGGCACATTGCATTTGGGGGTGGAGGAGGCTAGGGTTTGGGGTTGCTTGCCATCCACTAAAACACAGCTGTTTCTGAAATACTCAGAAAGTCTGTAACAAAGTAAGCAGGGATCTCTTACTGGCTTCTCTGGAATTAGCTATGCTTGTGTTCCTTTTGTCTTTTCTTTTCTTATTTCATAGAATCATAGCATCCTAGGGTTGGGAGACACCTTAGGAGGTCATTGAATCCAACTCTCTGCCCAATGCAGGACCAACCCCATCTAAATCATCCCAGCCAGGGCTTTGTCAAGCTGGGACTTAAAAACCTCTAGGTATGGAGATTCCACCACCTCCCTAGGTAACCCATCCCAGTGCTTCACCACCCTCCGAGGGAAATAGTTTTTCCTAATATCCAACATAGACCTCTCTCCCTGCAACTTGAGACCTGTTCTGTCATCATTCTGTCATCTGTCACCTGTCACCACTCTCCATCCTCTTTGGAATCTCCCTTCCCCCCCTCCCTTTCAGGAAATTGAAGTCTGCTATTACATTCCCCTTAGTTCTTCTCTTCTGTAGACTAAATAACCCCAAATCCCTCAGCCTCACCTCATAACTCACGTACTCCAGCCCCCTATTCATTTTTGTTAGACTCTCTGCAATGTGTCCACATCCTTTCTGTAGTGGGGGCCCAGAACTGGATGCAATACTCCAGATGTGGTCTCACCAGAGCCAAATAAAGGGGAATAATCACTTCTCTGGATCTGCTGGCAATGCTCCTCCTAATGCTCACCCAATATGCCATTAACTTTCTTGACTACAAGGGCACACCGACAACTCATATCCAGCTTCTCATCCACTATAATCCCCAGGTCCTTTTCTGCAGAACAGCTGCTTACCCACTGGGCGTCCAGCCTGTAACAATGCTTGGGATTCCTCCATCCCAAATGCAGGACTCTGCACTTGTCCTTGCTGAACCTCATCAGATTATTTTTGGCCCAATCCTCCAATTTAGGGTCACCATATTTGAACTTTCAAAAAAGAGGGACTGTATCTGTATCAGTATCTACCAACTCACGTGTTAATGCTATATAACATGTTAACACAACGTGAGTTGGTAGATACTGATACAGATACATTCCCTCTCAGGGGTGTTCTCTTTTTTGAAAGTTCACATATGGTAACCCTATTGGTCACTTTGGACCCTATCTCTACCTTCCAGCTCATCTACCTTTCCCCTACCTTAGTGTCATTTGTGAACTTGCTGAGGGTGCAATCCATCCCCTCATCCAGGTCAATAATAAAGACACCAAACAAAACTGGTCCCAGAACCAATCCTTGGGGCACTCTGCTTGATACTGACCACCAACCAGACATCAAGCCATTGATCACCACCCTTTGAGCCCAATGATCTAGCCAGCTCTCTGTCTCCTTTCTATTTACCCAATCCATACGTATTTAACTTGCTGGCAAGAATACTGTGGGAGAGCATATCAAAAGCTTTGCTAAAGTCCAGATATATCAGGTCCACCATCTTCCCTATATCCACAGAGACAGTTACCTTGTCATAGAAGGCAATCAGGTTGGTAAGGCATGACTTGCTCTTGGTGAATCCAGGTTGACTATTTCAGAATGTATTTCTCTGTACTTTCTATCAGTGGTTTATTTGGGGTTCCCATACATTCCATATAGGGAGCATATTTTTCCTTTTTTCCCTATTCGCCTCTTTTTCAGGTGTTTCTATTATCAGTTGCTAGATGGATTAAGATCCTGTGCTGTTTGTTGAGACAAGCAAGCCTTGGTGTGGCTCCTTCCAATTTCACAAGGAAACCACTGCTCTCCTGCTTCATGTTTCCAACCACTGCACCATCCCCGCCCCCAAGCAAAGGAATGTCACATTATTGGGATTTAATGTGAGCAGGTAGATCATTGTTGTATCCACTAGTGTGTGTTTGCTCCCAATTTGGTGCAAAGTGGGCCATATGAGGTGTTAAACAAAAGATTATGCTATGCTGGTTCTGTCTAGCCTATTTATGTACATGTACAATCTGCACGTGTAAAGTTATGAATATGGGCTTTGTATTTTACATGTTTTCTCCTGGGAGAGGCGGTTGCTCAATGCTTCATGAACAATAGCTCTAAAGGGCTGCCAATTGACACCTGAGGAGCACACAATGGCCCTTTGCCTAAGAAGGGCACACCCGGGGACTATATGGCTCCTTGCCTAAAAAAGACAGAAACTGGTTTGGAGGTCATGTGATCAGCCCATTTTGGGAGGCACCAGCACCCAGAAGAGGAATGGGTTTTTCCTCTGCATGGGCAAGGTTATAAAAGTGTCATGAGGGGGCCTCCAGCTGGTTTTCACTCCTGCCCTCCGCTCCAGAAGCAGGACTGGTAAGGACGGAGGGCTAGGAAGGATTTGTTGACCCATCCTGCCATAGGATGTGCTCCAGAGACTTTTGAGCCAGCAGTTTGTAACATCTCTGCTAAGAGCCTGCATCAAGCATTTGGTGATTGATGTATGGCATGTGTTCTCTTTAACAATCTGGCTCTTGGCCTTTTCTTTCTTTTATTAATAACCCTTTAGGTTTTATATTCTAAAGGATTGGCTCAGCGTGCTCTTTGGGTGAGATCTAAAGTTTTAGTAAATTGGCTCTGGACTGTGGCTGGTTCTTTGGGACCGGGAGGATCTGTTTGGAATTGGTGAGGTTCGGTTTATAACCTGTAAGATGGGGTGCTGGTTGTGGCACAGGGAACACTGGGGTATCTAAAGGGATTTGCTGGTGAGACATCTTGCTGGCCAGAGTGGCAGCTGCAGTGCTGTGTGACTGTCTTAGTGCTTTATAGGAAAGGACCCCAGTTTGGGCCACTGCCCTGTTCTGCACAATTCTCCGAGGTGCCCCAGACCCTGGTATATTACAAGAGGGAAAAGGCTAAAACACCAATCTGAAGTCATGACGCTAGCTGCTGTGGGAAGAGGCAACGAGGAGACGGGAGAGACAGCGACGATAGCTGCTGGGGAGAGAGCGGGGGTCAAAATGGGACTGGCTCACACACGGAGGCTCAGCTGTTCCGCGGGCTATGGGGGGCTCAGCCCGTAGGGAGGAGCAGGAGCCCGAGGACTGGCGGGAGGAGGGGGGCTGGCTGCTGCGGACAGCCCCTCTGTGGTCAGGCCAGGTGTCAGCTGGGAGGCTCCGCGTGGAACAGCGGCGGGGCCATGTGATCCCGGCCGCTCCCTGGTCGGGAGGCGCTGCGGGGAGGAGGCAGGCGGAGCCGGGCCGGCGCTGCGGCGGTGGAGCGCGTTGGCCGCTGTCTGGGCGCTGCACAGGTCAGTCCCCGGGCTGGCGGGGGCTCG